GATAGCCCAAGACACCCCCCCTCCCCCCCCCAACACTACACAAAACCAGGAAACAGATACAAGGACAACGAGGACCTATGAGGTCACAGATGATACTGCTTTACATTGGCCAAAACAAAAACCCCTGAAGAAAGTAAACACATGGAAAACGCTTCGAAAGTGCAAATTTGCATGTAAAAACATGTTAAAAAAAGCTTCCGAAAATGCTCACTCTCCAATCTCAATGGGCGCTAACACTGGAATAGCCTACATTGTTATAGTGTTACCATCAAGAACTTGTGCATATGTCTATCGCCATCTTGTGGTTGTAATGAGAACTGAAGGCTACAAGGTGTCCAAAGAAAATCCTACGGCCATCAGTCAATGAGCACAGCCGCCATATTTTATACACTGAGTGGCCAGATTATTATGACCACCCCATCAGTACTTAGGCATCGGGGCATTTTGACAAGTACTTGTCAAAATGCCCTGTATCGGGCCCGATTCCGATGCTAGCATCGGTATCGGGACATCCCTACTATTTATAATGGTCTGGCCCTCTAGCAACTTCAGCGTGAAATTATAGCTAATTTGCCTACAAACGTCAGGTGGTCATAATAATCTGGCCACTCAGTGTATATTCCTCCAATTGAATCTGTAATTTGCCCCATGATGACAGATCACAGAGTCACTAAGTATTGTCCTGAGTATTCAGTTTTGCTGCAGCAGGTTCTATACATCGTACAGACGCCACTTCATAGGCAGGTTAAGGGGACCCCCCAGGCACGATATTTAAAGGAATTTTTTATTGTTATTGTTACCCTTTAAGTGATGTTAAAATCACTGCTCCTTTAAAAACGGTAATTTTTTAAAGTTTTTTTGTCATTGATTCCTGTCCCCCAGAACAGATCCCGGACCCCCATACACCTTTTATGGCTAATAACTTGCATATAAGCCTTCAAAATGGGGACATATGTTTTTGAAAGTTCTACCCCCATAGACTTGAATTGAGTTTGAGTTCAAATTCAAACTTTTTGGGTGTTCTAAAGTTCGAATTCAAACCAAACTCGGGCCGGGTCGGCCCATCACTAGTGAGTATCAAAAGACCAACCGAGGGAGCCGGGGGGATGGGAATATGAATGTCTCATCGCACTCCTGACCGGTGCGCCCCTTTGGAATAGGTGGGTGCGGCAGTGACAAACGGATGGTGGCGCTCAATGTCAGAAGAGAAGGGGTCACTGGCACTGCGGTGTGCTGATCTATACGCCGTTATTGACACATGATCAGTATCACTTAACACAAAACACACGTCAATAGAGGCGTATTGATCAGCACGCTGGAGTGCCAGTGACCCCTTCTTTTCAGCAGGATGGGAAAGTTTTGTCTCAATGGTGAAGAGACATAGTGAGGTCTTCCGTGTCACAGATGAAGCTCAGTTCTCTACACCGGTCTTGTAAGGCGGGGGCAGGGCCGTCCCTATAATGAGGCTGGTGCCTCAGGTGGCATCTCTTTGGGTGACATGCAATGGAATATTGCACCTTATGTGGAACTCTGCACTGAATGTGGAATATTGCACCCTGATGTACTGAGGATTCAAATGTGGACTATGTGTCAATAGATCCTCGGTCCCACCTGGCTGCTAGACCGGTCCCCACAGTCTCTTCAGGCATGGGGGTTTTCAATTAAAACAGAAAATATCCCATAGACAATGTCTTCAAACTAAGAGCAGGGAGCTCACAAACCGCCAGTGTGTTTATTAACCTTAAAATCTTCTTTCATGTGAGCCCTGGATGCAATGAGACTTCTCTGACTGAAAATAAGCCCTGCCTCTGGTGTTTAGCTCCACCCACAATCTACTATCCTATAAAAAGGCTGAAAGCCAAGGTGAAGTATTTTTAGATAAATAGGCCGCCACCTCTTGTGATTTGTGCCCGATGTTTGCAAGGAAATGCCCGTAAATACCCCTACCCAAAATGCTGCCTCCTGCCCTCACACTGCAGTGCTCTGTGCTGGCAGAGCTGACTAACAGTCACACCCTTTTCCACCAGTGCCCTCATATATGTATGATCCCTGATCAGATCTGTGACATCACTGAGAGCATCCAATCCAGTGCCTCCTTCATTACATAATAATAATAACAGGAAAGTTCAGACTATAAAATTGAGGGTTGGTCGAACTTACTGCATATCGATTCTGTGACTTCAATTGGGCTTTAACTTTAACCCCTTCATGACCAGTGACGTACAGTGTACATCACTGGCATGGGGCCCGTTTAAACAGACTCTCGGTAGCTTTTGCCGCCGCGACTCTGTTTACATTTGTAAAGCCGTACTAAAAATAGTCTTGACTGTTATATTTACATATGAATGGGTGGCGCTATTTACATATGAATAAGCCGCAAATCATTCTCCCCAAAAAATGTCTGTGCGTCGCTAGAGTGTTGTGGTTTCGCTTGAAAGAAAGGTGGCAACCCTAGAAGCTGGGGAGGAGATGGACGAACCTCCATTCACCGATCTCCTCCTCGTACTATGGGACCGGGAGCAATGCAGATTACATCAGAAATTCAGTGTCCTTGTTACTTCCTGTGAGCTGCACCGAAAGCATAAAATGTTATCTTCTTTTAGTGAACTGCTAATCCCATCATCACTCATGTCATGAAGATAAGCAAAGGCAAAACGTCCAGCCTGGGTGGCAACCATGACTCTCTAGAGATACAGTGCAGAAGAGAGTGTAGCCACCAAGGGACAGGAAGCATGTTATACTCAGGATCACAAGGTGAGAATAAAGTTTAAAAAACGCCTTAAAAAAACTAATGCATCTACCCAGGGCTGTCCCTGCAGGTCGGTTGCCTCAGACGTCATCTCTTAGGGTCATGGGGGGGGGTGCCCTTTCTGGCCAGAGCATCCTGGGATGCTAAGAGCTGTTGGGAGTCATGCCTGTGGCTGTGAGAATCTTGCAATGCCTCATGGGATTTGTAGTTCCAAAACAGCTGGAGGGCTGAGGTTTGCCCACCCATAATATAGCGACTGGTAAGCTGCAACATGTAGCGAAGCTATATAAATACCTGTAATAATTAAAAATAATAAAACATATTATTGTTTTTTAATTTACATTTGAAGTTTTCTTGTATCATCCCCCTATGGCTACGCCGGGATATGTTCTTTTTGTTCTTTTATGATGGCCGGGAATTTCCTTTCTACATTGTTCTTCATTCTACACATATGTGACTTCCCCAGTGTGTCCACCAGATGGCGCTCTTTTACCTCCAGTCTGAAGTCACTTTGCATGTAACCAAACCACTTGGCCGGTGCCTGCAGGTGTCCTCAGTGTCCCCCCATCCTCAGTGTCTTGCTGGGAGATGGATTTCTCATTTTGATTTGAAAATTGAAATGTTAATTTGCATCTATTTGGCAGAAGAACGCCGACCTTCCATCTCTTTTTTTGTGTAACTTAAAATGACATTATAGGCAACTTTTTTTTCCCCTCACCCCAACGTTAATGTCAGCACTTGCCTTAAATGATGTTTCTTAATCCGATCTTCTTCTTCTTTCCTGTCGTTTTCATCTGTCCCTCCAGCGCTGCTCCCTCCGATCCAGCGCTGACTCCTCTGTCCCTGCTGGCACTTCCTGTCCCACGGTGTCTGCATGCGGGTGCACGCGTCCATAGACTTACCTTGCAACTCTCCTCGTCTCCCGGCCGAAAATGGAAACTGTGCATGCGCGTGACCCCAGAGAATTTTCACATTTTCGGACGGGGAGCGCGCAGGGAACACACGGGTAAGTTTAAACCACTGTTAAAGCACTTTTTTTTCTTTAACTTTTTGCATATATCTACTGCTTGCTAGCAGTATAATTATGCAAAAAAAAGCTGAGGGTTTAGAAACTCTTTAATGGTCTGTTAAAGGACAACTCCGTCCGAGGCAGAGCAAGTAGAGTAATGTTGTGAACTGACAGGGGGAGCATTTGATCCCTGGTGATTGAAAATCTCATAGGACCCCTGTGGTTAGATCTACAAAACTTAAAGGAGAACTATGGGGTTAAGGCTTTTCCCCATAGTTCTCCTTAGGGTAACGGGAGGACACAAACTAGCGTCCTCCCGTCCCCCTAGGCTCAGTATACCGCAAGCTGTAGCTCGCGGTATACTGAGACGCCGCAGTATACCGCAAGCTGCTGCTCGCGGTATACTGAGACGCCGCAGCTGAAGCGGATCACGACAATTGTGCCGGGATCCGCCCAGCTGCGTGACTGACAGCTGGCTCTGCCTATCTAAAGGCAGAGCCAGGTGTCCCCGCCCCCTCCCCCGTCCGTTCCGCCAGTCAGCGCTGGCGGATCGGAGCGGGGAAGGGGGAATTCAGCCCCTCCCCTGTCACGGGGCATACTACAGAGCAGGGGTGGAAAACTCCAGCTGTGCTTTAACTACAAATCCCAACATGCCTCTGCCTGTGGGAGTCATGCCTGTAACTGTTAGTCTTGCAATGCCTCATGGGACTTGTAGTTCCACAACAACAGCCGGAAGTCCGGATTTGCCCTCCCCTGCTATAGAGTGTCATTTAAGTGACTGCTCTGAGCCGGCTGGGGCTGCTGACATCACGTTTGAGATGCAGTCTCAGGGCTTTTGCATATCTACACAAGGGAGATTTTAAGGCCCCATCCATACCTCGGCGTACCGGGATTGTGCATTGCATTTGCGTGCGTTAA